CATTACACTAAATCTTTTTATTTAAAGAATGGGCGTAAGACATGTTGGTTTGATAGTCATCGGCAATATCTTCCAATGGATCATCCCTTTAGAAAAAATCGTGATTCTTTCATCAAACAACGGGTGGAGAAGTCAAGACCCCTGAGGATTTGGACAGGAGAAGAGTTGTTGGCTACTGTACTAATGTTCCCAAAGATTACTGATGGCCCAATCGGTCGACTTGAAGGGTTTGGATGTTCACATAATTGGAAGAAAAGAAGTACCTTCTGGGATTTACCATATTGGAAAGATAACCTCCTCCGTTATAACCTTGATGTAATGCATATAGAGAAGAATGTGTTTGATAACATCTTCCACACAGTTATGGATGTTAAAGGAACAAGGAAAAACAAAGACACACCTGCTGCTCATTTGGATATAAAGGATTTATGTCATAGGCCACAGTTGGAATTGGTGGAACATAATGGACGATATCTTATGCCAAAGGCGAGCTACAGTTTGAGCCGAGATCATCAGATTGCTGTTTATGAGTGGTTAAAAATTCTAAAATTACCTGATGGATTTTCTTCAAATATAAGTAACTGTGTAGATTCAACGTGTTCAAAATTATGTAGGTTGAAAAGTCATGATTGCCACATTTTTATGCAGTGTCTTTTGCCAATTGCCTTTCTCTTTTTTACCAAAATCACACTGGAAGGCTTTAGTTGAGTTAAGCACTTTTTTCGAAATCTATGCTCAACTAATCTCAGGGTCGACACGTTGAATGAAACGAAAACTTCTATTGTCCTTATACTCTGCAAGTTAGAGCGTATTTTTCCTCCAGCGATGTTTGATTGCATGGAACACTTGCCTATACACTTGGCTGATGAAGCACGTTTAGGTGGACTAGTCCAATATTGCTGGATGTATCCATTTGAAAGGTTCATTAACCATCTGAAATCTAAAATGAAGAATAAGAGATATGTTGAAGGGTCGATATGTGATGCATACTTGATTGAAGAGACAACGCATTTCGCTTCATTTTACTTTGAAGATCATGTACAAAGTAGGAGGACACGCATTGGTCGAAATTTGAATGATGGTGGAATTGACCCAAATTTGCCTACAGTTTTATCCATTTTCAATCGACCAGGTCGTCTAATCGGCGCAAAAGGTCAGATATTTGGACACCAAAGAGCGATTCACAGCTCAACAATATATATTACTTAACTGTGAAGATGTTCAGCCAATTTTACTGTATGCATTATTGTCTGAAGATGTTCATCAATATGCATTATTGTGTTTTGACTAATTACAAACTTTGTCATTGTAGGTTGTATGAGACAGGTTTACGCCAGTATAATCCAGGTGCCACTAATGAGGAGATTAACCAGGAAGTTGAGAGGAGTTTTGCAAGCTGATTTAGAGATTATGTAATATGTTTTAAAAAAATTTCATTTTTTAATTTTTTTATTCATATATATGCTATAAACATCTTTTAACAATTGAACTTGGCAGGTATACAATCCTGCAAATAATGTGGGAAACCAAGCCTTGATTGATTTTTTGGCATGTGGCCCACTAATGCAAGCCACTACATATAACGGGTATGTGGTTAATGGTTTCAAGTTGATTCATGCTAAGATCTTTTAATTAAGACTTGGTACACATATATCACCTTGATTGATGCCAGTAGCTTCACATTAACTACTGGTTCAATTTTGGCTAAACCTTGTGCTGAGTTTGTTGCTGGAATACTTGGGACTTGTTTTTGCGGAGGTGTAGCTATCCCTCTTGCTTTAAGCTACCCAGAAACTGAGCTCGTACACATGATGAATGATTCGGTGTGCCCTTTGTTTCCACAATTTTTGTTTAATATTTTCCTGCCAGCTTAAGTCTGTCCATGTTTTGTAGAATCTAACCTTCCTTGTTGTTTTTGCTGATTGGGGTAGTAGAAGTAAATAATACTTAATGTGTACTTCGTATGGTACTTTTTATTGGACTCCGAACTCCAATTTTTGATTCATGCTAAGAGCTTCTAATTAAGTTGTAATATATGTGTATATGTCTGAATTGAGTATTCCTATTCTTATTCTTCTTTCTCCCTTGGCAACATTCTGTCTCAATATGTGTATATCTTATTTTATAGGATACAATGAGTAAACTGCGACAGACTCAGACTGATGTATCAGATGTAGAGAGGGGAGGCAAAGTATATGGCTTTGGCTCGAATACGCAACACTATTTTTCTGAAGCTTCAAAGAAATCAAAATCCCAGGCTGGAGCGTCATCTTCAAATGCAACTTTGATGGAAGAAATTCAACAAATGAGAGAAGAAAACAAAATGTTTCAGGAAGAAAACAAGATTATCAAAAAAGAACTTGCAAAGATGGGTGCTATATTTGCAGAATTCAGTACAAATCCTAAGTTGTTCAACTCCAGCTCACTAAATGATGAAACACAAGCTGCTTCTGGTGAAGATTAAGTACTTCATGTTTGTATGACTCTTTTTTGGTGTGTATGGCAATACACTGCACTGCTCAAATATTAATGCACACTAAACTATCTTTTTGTTGTAAATAATTTTTTATATTTAAATATTTTTATTGTGAATTTAGATAGTGTGTATATTACTTTGTTAATCATATAGATTGTATTGACAACAGGTAAAATCAAATTATAGCAAGATCAAAATACAAAAAAAAAATTAAAAAATTAATAATTTAGATTCTCCTGCCAATTTCCGACCAACCTATTGGTCGGAATTTTCATCCAACAGCTCAAAATTGGACGGAAAATTCCATTCTAAAAATGGTGGATTATCATGCGAAATTTCTGTCCAAAGGGTCAAAGTTAGTCACAATTTCTGACCAACCGATTGGTTGGAATTACTGTCTAATGGGTCAAAGTTGGACGGAAAATCACATTTTAGAAATGGTGGGTTACCATTCGGATTATCGTCCAACGGGTCAAAGTTGGACGGAAATTTCCATTCTAAAAATGGTGGGTTATTATCCGGATTTTCCGTCCAACTTTGACCCGTTGGTCGAGACTTCCGACCAACATGTCATGTTGGACGGAATTACCGATGTTCATTTTTCCGGGCCCTCGATTTGGACGGAATGTTGGTCGGAAACCGGGTTTCCGACCAATAACCCCCGTTTTCAAGTTGGACGGAAATAGCAAGATTTCCAGTAGTGAGAACTCAAAGACATACTGTATCAAGAGCAACTCCTCTAGTTTCAAAGTTCTCGCGAGGAATGGATTGTTTCCGGAGACCGTAACACGCGGTTCTACCATGCTGCCACAGTAATGAGGAAATTAAATCATCTTCAACGATCAAAGGTCCTAAGGATAATGCTGGGGAATGGATTTCAGATGAGAAAGGAATCTTAGATCTCATCAGGACATATTATACTGACTTGTTTTCTGAAGATAAGGAATTATTGCCAAATGATTTGACTAAAACTTCCTTCCCCATGCTTCAACCTGTTGATTGGCATATACTTAATTAATATGCCTTTCTCGGCAACTGAGATAGAACATGTGGTTTTTGATATGGCGCACCTGGTCCAGACGAATAACCTACTTGCTACATGTAAACGTGAAGCAAGAAGCCTGGAGAATTGGAAATTAGACTCCGTTGCTCGCGAACAAAACAGGTCAGCAGATATGCTTGCCTGCAAGGTTGGGGAGCTTGGGAGAGGAACGTTTCTACAGGCTCCCACTTTTGAAATATTAGATATATTAGGCTAACCACATCCCTGCAAAGAATCCATTGGCAAAGTGATGTGGTAAAATGAGGTGGAATAATATGCTATTTATATTTTATTTTTATTGCTTATTTGGATTGCCAATTTGCAAGTAATGCAAATTGGCAAACCATTTGCATCGTACAAAGCTGCTGCCACAGCAGCAGCGACAGCAGCTTTATACCTTTTTTTTTTATATATATATATATGTACTTTTTGTTTGTTTTCTTTATTTATTTTATTGTTTGGGGTTCACTTTTCAAAATAGATTAGATTTGCAGAGATGTGGTGTGAATAGTAGATGATTTGCAAATGAGATGATGTGGAAGTGGGATCCATTTTTTAGAGTGGGAGATATTTGTAGGGATAAGGACAGCCTTAGGCATTTCATCTTGGCGCCAATGGTAGATTGTAATTAGCAAATAGGTACGCATCTCAAATTTTTACATGGAACTTTAAGAAAATACTAAAATACCTATGAATTTAGTTATTAATTCAATATCTTCTACTTAAATATCTACGACATTCATTAATTTTATTTACATTTTTTGGTGGGTAAATTTAATTTTTCTTGTAATGTAGAGTGATTAAGGAATACTTTGCCGTGGTCAAACACGGAAACACATTTGCTCAAAAGCAAATATAAATAGAATAGAAAAGTCAAGTATCTTGTGATCTGGTGACATCACTTTTATCACTCTAAACGGAAGGTCTCAGGTTCAAAACATTACCATGTTAAGCAGATACTATGTATAGGTGAGAAGAGTTGTGTGTCGTTTGTGTGCATTGTGTGTGTCGGGTGCGTGTAAGAGTTGATTTCATATTATACAATTCATTTTAATATTGCATAAAAAAAAACTTAGGTGACTCCCGTTTCACTGGATTATTCTTAAATCCACAGGACCCGTTTCTAGTGTCATAGCGGAGGTGAATCGTGAGTTGCTCTATTAGTCCACCAGTCATACCTTAGCCTTAATGTGCCACTGCGGAGGTAAATCGCGAATTGTGCTATCAGTCCATCATCCTAGTTTTAATGTGTGCACGAGGGATCCAATCTAAACATTTTAGCATCCGACTCAAGTCATCACCTTTAAGTCAGACAACGAATCAACTACGTTAAGTCATGTGACAAAAAAAATAAAAATACTCATCTTAAATTGACTAATGATGGCATTTTTGTAGTTATTAATGGAAGGGTGCCCATTTTGGTAAAGCGTTAGATCTGAATAGACTTATGAACCGACTACTTACTAATATACTCTCTGCTCTGCTGTCTTCTCTGCTCTGCGATGCTCCACAGCTTCCTCACATTTCCCGTCTCTCTCTAACCTCCCCACAATGGCGTTTCTTCAATGGTTTCTTCTTCTCTGTATTTTCTTCACCTCCGCCTCCGCTAATGCTCAAAGTAAGATCCATTTCCTCATTTTCCTTTGAAAATGCTGTTATTTTTTTGGTATGATTGTGTTTTGTGTTTGGATGCCTTTTCTCATTGCAATGTTGTGATAGTATAGCATACAGTACTCTGTAGTTGATCTGGTTTTACGTATGGGTTTTAAATGTTGGACTGGTTCTTGACCTTGTCAAAACACACTGGATTTTGCGTTGTTAGTATACTCTTTTTGGGTGCATTTGCAATGAAAGAAAAGAATGGAGAGTTTCATTGATGCAAAGTGGTGATGGGATTTCTATTATTTTATTGTTAGATCTCACCATGGATTGAGAGATATATATCTCCAGATGGCCAGATCCTAAGATGAAATCAAAGATCCTTGTGTTTACATTGGTGTTCAACAGTGTATGTTTTCTCAATTAAGGCTGCATTTACTAAGATTCATAGGGTTATTAATTTTCCAGGTGAAGCATGATTGCTTTATATGGACTTGAGTTAAGGCATGTTGCCCAAATCTTGATTGAAGGGTCAATTAAATTTAGATAGTTTACTAACCCTATTTGAATGTGGTGTCCACCTTATCTTCTACTTCTTTGAAATTTTTTCCATACTTGGTTTGAATCAAGGTTTTTGCTAATGTCAGCATAGCTGTTGAAGGCGGGGCTGGATTCGATTGTTCTTTTAGTTTCGTATTCCTTATACGCTTCCATGTTGCCCCTTATTTGGATAAGTGGGCAGTGCTTCTTGATCTGAGAATTAATATCTAGAAAGCACATCCGTTTTCCTGGTTAATATTTTTCTTTTGGGTGAGTCTCTCCTGTGAGGGATCCGTGAGACGGGTTGGGTTTAGATAGAAATTTACTTCGTAATACTTATGATGGAAAATGTAATACTAATTAGAGATAAATTGATTGTTACTCACAAGAGAAAACGTGATACCTTTGTAGAAAAATGTAATATTTAGGGGTTTAAGAGTTACTTATGAGAAAAAGTGTAATACGAGACAACCCCAGCTAAGTTAATCAGACTGTTGACTTGGTAAATGGTACGGTCTTCTTGGTTTGAGCTGGTCAGCTATGGACAACCTAGGCTGGTGCTTGGTTAAACCACCATTGGATTGCCATCTAGGAACAAGAAAAACCAAACTACAATATAAACAAGGATGAAAAGGGAAAGAAAGTGTCCAAGTTAGGTGTAATTGATGATCAAATCCTGTTAACTAGCTTTTCCAATATGTGAAAACCTATCTGCTTTACCAGCTTCAAAGTTCAGGATAAATTATGCTCACATTAGATTGAGTTTTAAAGGCATATTTCTCGAGCAGAGAGTTGTGCTTTATTTTGATTTAATGTAGTTTGGCGTCACCCTCATCCACTGACTGAATCTTTGTTTCCTTGATGGAAAATACAGGTAAAGTCACAGACAATCCTGCTGATGAGCTTGTAGCGGCACTCAACAATAATAGGACTGCTAAGAAACTACCTTCCTTGTACAGCAATCCGGGACTGGCGTGCTTAGCTCTGCAATACATAAAAGCCTTTGAAGGTGACTGCGATGCCGTTGGAGGGTCAGATGCCAAGAAGCCTCCCGATTCTTCATTCGTTGAAACTTTTGCCCCCAACTGCGGTGTTCAGGTAATTGAAGCATGTGCTCCATCTCAACTAAAAGCCTAAGCTGATAGTTGGATTGTACATTAATGGTTATATGCTCAACACAGGTAAACACCCTTGCTCAAATAACCGGCCGCTTTCTTGCCTGCCAATCCAAATACGTGAGCCCTTCTCAAGCATTCTCGGACATCTTGATAAGAGGCCAAAAAAGCTTCGATATACTCTACAGCAAGAACCACACCGAGGTTGGCGGTGCTGTGAGTGGCAGTGATGGCGGTGGCCCGTATTTCTGGTGTGTGCTCTTCAGCAATGGCAAATCGAATAGCAGCTTCGCCTTGGAGGGAGGCACGGCGAAGGACACGAAGCCCGGATGCTTCAGCGGTGCTAACGATGTGTGCAGCGCAGCTAATGCTTTGTCTCGAACCTTACGCCCATGGCTAGTTGCCGTTGGAGCTTTGGTTGCCCTCGTTTATGCATTTGGATCAGTATAACCCACCATTTCATGGATTGTGGATGGCTGTTCTTGGGCAACTCTCTTGTTATGCCGTAGGAACTGTGTTTAGTGTATCATTATTGTATCAATTCATTCATCAATGTTCTCTGTAAAGAATACCATTTCCACATTTGATTTTGTTGAAAATATTTTGGATCTCTTATATGCACCTTTAAATGATAAGCCACCAATCCTGCAGGTTATGTAAATGAGCATACTTGCCATTTACCAATGCAAAAAAATTGTTGCACTAAGTTTTATTCTCTTCCCAACCAATACTCAATGCCCTTTGAATAGACAAATTATTATGTGGATCACGAATATAAGGTACATTTTTAATATACTAAAAGTACATTATTTATATATTGAATATACATTATTTGATAGTATATAAAATAATGTATTTTCATTCTTTCAGTACTAAAATAATGTACTTTATGTGTACAAATAATGTCTTTTAGTATAATAAAAATATATTTTTTATTTATGTTCCATGTAGCTGTGTGGACCGTGATCTATGTAATAATAATTGCTATGGATAAGTATTTGATTTTCTTTATCTTGAGAGGAAAGTTTTTCACCTCTTTAACTAAGCAACTAACATTGGAAAAGTAGTCTTATGATAACAACAAACTCTACCAAAAATAGGATGTAACATTTTTGTCCCGCTCAAATGCACTTTCCAAATCAAGAAAGAAATATCTACATTTCAACCTAAATGCATTTTGCAAATCGGTAAAGAAATATCTACCGTTTAGATTTGACAAATTGGATAATATTATTATTGTTCGTTGCAGTAAGGCAAATTTTATTCCCAAATTAAAAAAAAAATGTACTTTTATCAAACGGAATTGTTCATATACAGAGCAAAATCTATACATGCAAAATAATTGTATGAAAACATTTAAACTTCCTTTATAATACATTTGTGACATTTCTTATATCATTTGTGATTGCGAACTAGCTAAAGATTTCATGAGTAGTGAAGTTACGTGTTGTCTGAGTTTACGAAGTATGTACTTGCACATAGAAACTTTAATTAGAGTATCGAGTATGTCTTCTATAATGAAGATGCTATGAATCAAGTGAAATCTATTCTATTAAAGTGTTTGGTTGTATGAAAAAGATTTTCTAAGGAAAATGTTTTCTTAAAAAATGAGGAAAAACTTGTTTTCTAATGTTTAGTTCATGGAATTTATTTTTCATTGGAAAATGATTTCCTTACTTTTGAAGAAAACAAATTCTAAAGGCAACCTAGGAATTTATTTTTCTTGACAGTTGGGAACAAAAAATAAGCTTGCAAGACTATTTTACCCTTGCGCTTCTTTTCTTCTTTTTTTTTTTTTTTTTTTTTTTTTTTTTGAAAACTTGTGCTTCTTTCTTAATTACATACATATAATTGATATAAGTAGCGAATTCTAGGGATATGTAGGTTTTTGTACTCATTATTCGTCACAATCACAAATCCAATCAAACAATAGAATCAATATTCCTAGTATTTTTTTTTTCCACCAACCAAACAATGAAATTCATCTTCTCAGTAACTACTTTTCTATGGAATTTCAATTCAATTTCATTTCAAATATTTTGTACGAACCAAACGGGCCCATAATAGTTTAAAGGAAAAAAAATCAAATTGCTCATAAATCCAACAAATAAATTTCCTTAAGTGATTTTACTTATATATAGAGATATTAAAAATTATATGAGAAGTCAAACGCCAAGCACCAAACACCTTGTGCTCAGATGACATGACTCTATTTGAGGAAATGTCACAAGAAAGTATAGAACAGATTAATTTGGAGATTAAAAATGTGTGTGCACACAAGTGTTTTTAATCTCCATTAATCTCATCTATAGATTAATTCTCATGCACTCATGAAGAGGTTGGTTCTCCTCAACCTATATACATATAGAGCTCTCAAAACGAGTGGTTTTGGAATGTATCTACTCTATACTCATATTTGGGAGTTGCCATTTGCCCCTAAAAAATGACACCCCTTACTTACCATTGATTTTAAATCTAATGGATGAATTTTTTTATCTAATTTTTGATTTATTTTTTCATTTTAATTGCCCCTAATTTTTAAAGAAATAACAACTTTACCAATATTTTTTGACTTCTTCCTCTTTGCCTTAATGTGATCTTTGTCTTTTTTTTTTCTCCATCATTCCAACACTCCATTTTTTTTAACATTTTTTTAGAAAACCATTACATTATTCTAGCTAACATCTCCATTCTCTCCCTCAAAATCAAATCTAATGTTCTCCCGCATATTCCTAATTTAATTATTGTATATCATGTTGGTATCTAAATAACTTATTTATGTATTCTTATTTATTTGTCATATAACAATATATAACAATTATTAAAAATTATATATATTATTATTTAAAGATTATAACATACTCGTTTTAAAAATAAAAAATAAAAAATTATTAGAACATACTAATTGATTGTTAGGCGTGACGTTTCGCGTGCCCACGACTAAGTATACTATATAGAGTTAATTCCAGCAATAGTCCTCCGACTATAGTGATTTTTCAAAATTAGTCCTCGACTTTTAATTTGGACACTTTAGGTCCCTTGACTTTTAATTTATTTCCAATTGAGGTCCTTTCGTTAGAATACGGTTCATTAGACTTTAAATGAAGGGGTAAACTCGTCCTTTCACATGCCTATGTATTATTCTTCGTATTTCTCCCTTCGTATTTCGCTGTTATACCTTGTAAACATCTCAATAATAGAGGAACGCACACACGAGTAGCCAGCAAATGGGGAACACCGAGGAACATTTTAGGGTTTCGACTAAGATTATCTTCATATATATTGCGTATACAATGGAGAAATACTAAGAATAATACATAGGCAGGTGAAATGATGAGTTTACCCTTTCATTTAAAATTCAATTAACCGTATTCTGACGAAAGGACCTCAATTGAAAAGAAATTAAAAGTCAAGGGACCTAAAGTGTCCAAATTAAAAGTTAAGGACTAATTTTGGAAAATCATATATATGTAAGTAATTAATTTTTTTTTTTTAATTTCTAATTTTCTACCTTTTGCTCTTCTCCGTTGCACGCTGACAAATTCTATCCGCCCTCTGTCTTCTTTTTCTTCACAGCTTCATCCTTCTGCAATCGCAACTTTGTCTTCACTCTTCAGAGAGCAGAGTGCGCCATAGCCTACAACTCTGCAATCCGCAGACCGTCGCAGCGAGCCAGCTCCACCAGTCCGCCGCCTCCCCGTGACCGCAAGCCACAACTTGTGAGATTTGTTTATGAAATTTTCAAATTAATTTGTGATATTTATTTATAATATATGAATCGTGAATTGTGAATTTACGTTTTTTTGAACTTGTATATTGTGAATTTGTGAAGTATATGTTACCTCTCCTACTCACCTCTGCAAAAACCAACTTAAATCCCAAACTAATGGGCTTGCTCTTAGGCTAAATGTGCTTCAGAAATTGCATTGAGATCCTTTCACTTTCAGGATTCTACCCTCCTACTCAGTGGTAACTGTATAGGAAATGTGGCGTTGTTGCCAGAACCTACTGCGAAGAGCCTCTTCGACACTACCCTTACGCCCTCACACATCATCATCATCATCATCATCCTCATCGAACCACAAGAGCACATTCAGGCACATCATCATCGGCTCCAATGCAGCGGCATCAAGTCCTAGCGTGTCGATTTGGAGACGCAAGAAGGAAATGGGGAAAGAAGGTCTAATGGTGGCCAAGGAGCTCAAGCGGTTACAGTCAGACCCGATTCGGCTTGAACGCTTTATGAAGTCAAATGTCTCTCGCCTTCTCAAATCTGACCTCCTCGCTGTCCTCGTCGAATTCCAAAGACAAGACCTTATCTTTCTTTCCATGAAGGTACTTGTATATTATAATCAACTTTTTAAGTTCTTGCTACATTTTATTAGTTGAAAAGTGAATATTGCAATCATAACATTTTTTTTGTAGTTCAACCGAATTGCTTGATACATTATTATGAATTGAATAATTGATCAGAGTGCTCTTGTTCTTCTAGAATTTGATGTTTTAAATTTATATTAGTTCACTCTATGCTTGCCTTTAAGTTTTGAATAAGCTTGAGAAAAAGTATGAGTTTGTGTTGCAGAAAATAAGAACATTTTGTTTGGTATTTTGGTAATGCTCAAAGTGATGATCCATATAAATGCCTAACCATTGATGCTTATAGTGAAATAGACCTTTTTCATGTTGGTGTACTATTGGAAAGCGATTATTCTAGAAATTTTCTTGTTTGTGGCACTCTAGTAATTGAACTGTTTCTCTTTCTTATGGTTAATTTTTAGAGTAAACTAGAAGCTGCTTGCTATTACGTCAGTGAGATCATTGTTGTGATCTTGAAAGAGCCTAAACCGGATAAATGTATTTGACATTTTGACCATTGTGTTTCCATGTACAGATGTATGAGGTGGTGCGTAAAGAGATATGGTATCGACCAGATATGTTTTTCTATAGGGATATGCTTCTGATGCTTGCAAAGAACAAAAGGGTAGATGAAGCAAAGAAGGTGTGGGAAGATTTGAAGAGTGAAGGTGTCCTTTTTGATCAACATACATTTGGTGACCTTGTGAGAGCATTCTTGGATAGTGGATTGCCTGATGAGGCAATGCATATATATGATGAAATGAGAAGATCTACTGATCCCCCTTTATCTTTGCCTTACCGAGTCATATTAAAAGGGCTTCTTCCTTATACAGATTTGAGAGAAAAGGTTAAGGATGACTTTCTTGAACTTTTTCCAGATATGATCATTTATGACCCTCCTGAAGACTTATTTGATGATGAAGAGTGGAGAAAGGAGAGTGAGGATAATTGACGTATGCCATGAAGATGTGCTTCTTTCTGCGGAAAAATTTCCTCTGTACAAGCGGAACGAGTACTGCGATGATTGGCTAAAAGTCCCTAAAACCATGAATGCTTCTGAGCTTCAAAGTGGGCAGATGTTTCTGCTCCGTTTGAGTGTCCAAAAATGAACCCAAGAAAAACACGGGTGATGCTCAGATCCAAGGTATGCTGCTTACCAAAAAGATACTACTTGAAAGCATGAGCACTGTTTGGTAAAAGAAGGCTCTTTGTCACTGGATTATATAACGGTGTAACTTATATTTCGTGAACAATTGAGTCCAAAGTCAACAATGTTTCTCAAACACTTCCTGCAATGGTAGTAAGTTCCCCGAGTTTTATGAAATGCTGCTTCATTGCAAACCTGTTCTGGTACTCTCCACATACTGCTTTAGTTAAGATGTTGCATTATGGAGTTAAAAGTTTTAAAAAATGTCTTGCTTCAGAATCAAATCAGTTAGTCTATGGCTTGATTTTTAGTATTAATTAGTCATGATAAAATACCTTGTCTGAATTATATTCTTATCTTGCATGATCCATATGCTTCTTTCAGACCCTACTACCTGTTTCTTTTTTTAATTTTTTTTTGTACTGTGATTTCCATGTTTTCAGGTTTATTGATGTGGTCATTAAGTTATACTTAGTCACTCGTATTAAAGTTGTGTTAAGTTAAAGTAGGAAGTAACTCTAGAGAAAAGAGAAAAGAATAAACTGGTGTGTGCTTTAGATATGCAGTAGTTGCAATAATAAGCACATAGTGCATGTGAAAACTGAGATGCCTACAGTAATAGTTTTATATGCCAATTGCCCATTTTGAACAAAGACAATAGCTAATTACTAATCTGTGTTTTAATAAGACCTTAACAAATTAAATATATGTTATCTAAGACAGTGCAATAAATTTGAGGTTATCTTTGATCTTCTTAATTATCTCCCACCTCTTGCAAGTCACATATGATTCAGTAGGCAGTATTTGGGAGAAGAAACCAAGGTTCCAACCTCGGCAGTGGCAGTGTGGGGATTATGCCAATGTGTGCAGATTCTTTGTGCACACTGGCATTTACATCCTCCCAAATGCTCTGTCAGGTCGGGGTGTGGGGGCCTTTGGGGTTGGGGATTCAACCTTTTGGGAGAAGATGAAAAGAAATCATTCTTTTCACTTGAATTTTTGTGTGACAATGCAATGGTTTGTGGCTTGGGGTTTTAAATCTTTTCCCAAAATTTCCCAGTGTCAGAAATCTTCTTATTTCTCTGTATATTGGTGTTTTTGGTTTCTCTAATCTCTACAGCTAGGAAGTTGGAACACTGAAATATTTGAAAGAATCCCCCGATTACTGTACTTGTCTATTTGATCATGCCTTCTTGAATGGACTGTTTTGCATTTTGATGTTCATAGACCTAAATGTTTAACAGGGACTCTCATTCTTGCAAGGTTAAAGAGAGGTTCTCATGGTGTCTCTTTAGGAGTTTAATTAGTAATTTGCAGGGCTCCACTGGTGTCTGGTGGATTATTTATTTATTTAGTATATTTCCTAAATTTTCAATGATCAATTAAGCATGCATTTTGAATTGGAATTAAAAGCAGGAGTAGGTGGAATAGTTTAATGGTATTTATCATGTGGATGGAGATGGGCAATAGTCAAATAGATGAGCTCATTTCACGTGCCCAATCTTACATTATTAATTGGCCTAAAATATTAATTTACTTATTATATCATCATTGGAATGCCAACTACTACCATCTCTTCGATGTGCACTGACTAAGAATTAATTCTTTAGCATGTATGCTCTCTCCCAAGGTGCAACAACTAAGACACAGTTTTATCCTCTCTCTAGCTTTTGAACGCTCTCAACGGCTCTAGGGTTATTGGCGCTATATTTGGAAACTTTTCCCTCGCTCTCCGAGAGCGTGGCCATGGAGGCCGAGGTGGCGCTGCCACCAACGGACGGGGGAGGAGCACGAGGGCCGGATGGTGGGCCTACGGTGATTAAGAGATTCAAACAAACCAAACGCTCTTTCGCAGAAACCTTAGGGGATCGCACAAATTTGGGAACTGACTTCCAGGTACGCAATGAGGAGATCAACTGGTTCGACGATGACTTCACGATTGAGCCGGACAAGGAGGATTACCCGGCCGCCAAGATGGAAGGGATCCCAGTGGTTCGTCTCCCAAAAGCGCTGAGAGAAGAACTCATAAAGCCTTGGAAAAATGCGCTTATTGTTAAGCATCTAGGGAAACCAGTCGGTTTCTCGCTATTCCAACAACGCATGACTCGGATCTGGAATCTCCAGGGAAGAGCGGAATTCATAGACATCGGTAAGGGGTGGTATGTTTTTCGTTTCCAACTTCAAACAGACTGTATGCATGTCCTGGTTGATGGACCATGGAAACTTTTCAACAACTACGTGGTGGCTCGCAGATGGAAACCAAACTTCAATCCCTCTCGTGAAAAGGTTGAGAAAATGGTTGTTTGGGTGAGATTACCGAAATTTCCGGTGGAATTATTTAGAGAGGATGTGATCAAATTGGTTTTGCAACAAGTAGGCACACCGTTGAAGATTGATAATACAACGACAGGAGTGGAGCGAGGGAACTTCGCCAGAGCGGCAGTGGAAGTCGACATCTCAAAGCCCCTGGTGGCTTTAGTTTAGGTTCACGAGGAAATCCAGAAAGTTGAGTATGAAGGTCTCCATATCATCTGTTTTGATTGTGGAGAGGTGGGGCATCGTACCTCAGCCTGCCCAAAAAACAAAACTAGTGATGAGGAAGCTACGGGGGTCAATGCAACTGATGGCCAAGAAACTATGAACGTAGATAAAAGGCAGGAAGAGATCCCAACCAAACTGCATGGATCGTGGATGGTAGTCACCCGGAAGAATACCAAGCAGAAGGGGGTGGAAAAAAAAAAGGAAAAACTCCTCATAAGCAGGGGGGTACAAAAGTTGATAAAGGGAAACAAGTCTTGGTGGAGAACTCTCCCCCGGGTAACTTGAAGAAGAACCAAAAAGTTGTGGCAGGTACCAATGCCATAGCTAGTTCGTCAAAAACCCGGCAGCATACGACGGGGATCGCAGGTAAGCCACCAGAGGCTGTTTCTCTTGACACTCATAATTCTTTTGACTTACTGCAGGGCTTAGGTGGACTAATTGATGCGCCAATTGTTGTCGAGGACACACCGAGACAAAGAAGAGGCGCACAAAGTTCCTACCGCGTTGGTGGTCCGGTTACGGTCCTCCAGAAATCCAATCAGAGAGGAAAAAAACCTCCTAATAAAACGGGAGGCGCGAACATAGAGGATGGAAGTATGGTGTCCACTGCTACCTACACGTTCAAGGACCAAATTTTTGTGTTTGGGGAGCTCCCAGAAGGCAACACATCTGATAATGTCCAGACTTTGGCTCAGGTGACGCAGAAGGAAGGCGATAATAATTCTTCCTTGGCTTGCCCGATGTCTCAATGAATTGGCTCTCATGGAATTGTAGAGGGGTGGGCAATCGTTTAACGGTTAGCCACGCCATAGGTTTGATGAGTGACAAGGTTGTTGGAGCGGTTTGTTTCCTGGAAACTAAGACTAGGGATTTTAACAGACTCAAGAATATGGCTGCTAACCTGGGTTTTGATAGAGATTACATAGTTGATCCGTTAGGCTTCGCGGGGGGCCTAATCCTTTTCTGGAGATCAAATATCCTCAACTTTAAGGTTATGAAGAGTACTTCCCAGGTAATTCATGGGATTGTTAACAGCTCGGGGTTGGCCGAGACTCGCATTTCGTTTGCTTATGTAAGGCCAAGCCCAATGACGAAAGATATGTTTTGGGCTGAGTGTAAATCTTACAGCTCAAGTTTTACAGGCCCCTGGATCTTAATGGGGGATTTCAACGATATCACGGGTAATCATGAGCAATGGGGCAGCACTTCAGTCAACATCAACCACTGCTTGAACTTTATAGAGGATTTCAATGCGTGCGGGCTTCTGGACATGGGGACAATAGGGAGTAAATACTCTTGGTTTCGTCATGAAGGAGGTAGGACAGTGCAACGCAGGAAACTTGATCAGGTTTTTTGGAATTTGGAGGCACAAATCCCTTTCCCGGAAGCTAAAGCCTTCATCCTCCCCAGAACTCATTCGGATCATCACCCTCTTAAATTTGTGGGACATGCGGGGAACCCACCACGCCGGGAATTGAGACCGTTTCGTTTCGAATGAGCTTGGCTTACACGGGATGACTACAAAGACATTTGGAGAAAAGTCTGGTGCAACAACAACATAGACTTGGTCAGTGGTATTGATGAAGTGGCTACTCAAAGTAAACTTTGGAACAAAAAGTCCTTCGGAAACATCTTTGTCAGGAAAAAGACTCTTCAGGCAAGGATCAAAGGAGCTTAAGAATCCCCCTTTTATAACTCCTCTAGAGGGCTTCAGGTGTTGGAAAAGAAGCTGGTGGCAGAACTCAATGAGGTCCTTAAACAGGAAGAATTATTGTGGTTCCAAAAATCCAGAAAACAGTGGATCAAGGACGGGGATAGGAATACAACCTTCTATCACAGATCTACCCTTATTAGAAGAAATCGGGCCAGAATTCGGGCTTTAAAGCTGGATGGGGAGTGGAGTTCGGATTTTAGTAAAATTAAGGAGCATATTGCTAACTTTTTTTATTAATCTCTTTGGCAGGAAGGTTATCACAGGAGGTCAACAAGGGAATGTTTATGGGGGTCCGACCCTTTCTGTGGCCCAGACGAGATCTCTTGGGCGGAATATTGATATGAATGAAGTAAAAAAGGCGGTGTTTGATATGAAAAAGTTTGGTAGCCCGGGGCCAGATGGTATTCAAGCGGCCTTCATCCAAACTTTTTGGGAGGAGGTCAAACGACCCATGACGGACTTTGTGAAAGATGCTCTCGGGCAATGTAAGCTTCCCAGTAAAGTCCTTGAGGCCTTTATCACCCTCATTCCAAAAAAGGAAAGCCCGGAAACGGCTAGTGATTTTAGGCCCATCACTCTCCTTAACGTTAGCTATAAAATCCTCTCAAAGGTGATAGTTAATCGGATGAGGCCGATTATGAAGACGCTCATTGGCCCCTATCAAAATAGCTTTCTCCCGGGGAGATCTACGACGGACAACATTATCCTTACTCAAGAGATTGTCCACCACATGCGCCTCAAGAAGGGTAAAAAAGGGCTTATGGCGGTCAAGATCGACCTCCATAAAGCCTATGATAGTATCGATTGGGATTTTTTGGAATCCACTCTGGTGGCTTTTAAATTTCCCCGGAATCTTATCCAGTTAATCATGTTTTCCATTGCTAACAACTCTATCTCTCTTCTCTGGAATGGTGAAAAGCTTCCCCCGTTCCAGCCCGGGTGGGGCCTTAGACAAGGCGACCCCATCGCCCCTTATCTGTTTATTCTTGTGATGGAAAGACTCTCTTGGGCTATCCAAGAGGAGGTAAGAAACAAATCTTGGAAACCTATCTCTATCTCTCGCAGAGGAACAGGTGTCTCGCATCTCTTCTTCGCAGATGACCTCATGTTGTTCGCGGAGGCATCGGAATCACAGGGAAAAGTCATGACAGATTGTATCCGTAAGTTCTCAGATTACTCGGGTCTGACTATTAATATCTCTAAATCTAACATCTTCTGCAGCCCAACACTAATACGGAGATTAAAAGGGGCATCCAGAGCTTGACAGGCATTCCGGTATCAGATAGTCTTGGGACCTACTTGGGTATACCGATTCTACATAATAGAATCACCAGCCAGACCTTTAACTACATATTGGAGGGTATGAAACGTAAACTAGCGAACTGGAAGGCAAACACGCTCAATCTTGCAGGGCGCCGGACGCTCGTCCAATCCACGCTCGCTGCTATGCCTGTTTATACCATGTAGGTGTTCAAACTCCCAGCACGTACTAGCAAAGAGATAGACAAGATTTGTAGAGGGTTTTTGTGGGGAGATACTGATGATAAAAAGAAGATGCACATGGTAAATTGGAATGATATTTGCAAACCAAAAGACAGCGGGGGTCTGGGTCTTAGGCGGTGCGCGGACTTTAATGATGCCTTCTTGGCGAAACTTGCCTGGCAAATCAACACAAATAACGATAAACTCTGGACTCAAGTAATGAAGGAAAAATATATCAAAGATAAAAATTTCTTCACGCTACCTCTGCAGAATAATGCATCATGGGGGTGGCGAAGCGTCCTGCGTGGCAGATCACTGGTAGAACTCGAGGCTGCGTGGAGAGTAGGAGATGGCTCCTCCTTAAGCTTCTGGTTGGACTGGTGGGTTGGGGAGAAACCGCTAGCTCTCATGGAAAATGTGGAAATCCAGGACTCCCCCCAAGAGTCCAAAGTGAGCGATTTTATTCTCCCCTCCAGAACGTGGGACCTCAACAGGCTATGTCAGGTGCTCCCGCAACAAGCGGTTGATCTTGTTCGTGCAGTGCCTATCGCTAGCTCGGATCAGGTGAAAGACGCCCTCTTCTGGCCAAATTCCCCTACCGTACCTTTTCTGTGCGTTGTGCTTTCCATTATATTACAGGTTCGGAGGAGGAAGACACTGACATCAGTTGGGTCTGGAAGCTTAGAGTCGTGGAAAGATGCCGCATGTTCCTGTGGCTGCTGATGAAAGGGAGGCTGATGACGAACATGGAACGTTGGAGATGGAGGCTAACAGATGACTCGACATGTAGCTTAAGTGGAGATGGCGACAAAACCATTGCCCATGTGCTAAGTGGGTGCAGCTTCGCAAAAAACTGCTGGAAGGCAACATATCACCCGGTGGGTTTCCAGTATGACCCCGTGATGCTGCCAAACGCTTGGTTACAAGTCAATTGCCGCTCTAAGGTTTGGATTGATGGTCGTCCGTGGGGAATCACGTTTGCCTACACTTGCTGGGAGATCTGGAAAGCCCGCAACAGAAACATTTTTGACGCCAAAGACACGTTTCCAAGAGAGATAGTGAAGCGCGCGGAATCCATAACAAAAGAAACAGTAGAGGCGTTCTTTAAGAAAACATACGTTAAAGTGGGAAACCTGCGCTGGATCAGCTGGTCGCCACCTGATGAAGGCTGGGTAAAAATCAATACTGATGGGGCCTGCAAGAAAAACACAAGACTTGCAAGCGCTGGGGGACTCGCTCGCGATCATAAAGGCAGTTGGCTGGCTGGTTTCGTCACAAATATTGGTGTTACAAATAGTTTTGTCGCAGAGCTATGGGGCCTAAGAGAGGGTCTACGGCTGGCAAAGACTAAGGGTTATAGAAGGGTGGTCTTCGAGTTAGACTCCAACTCAGTAGTGGCGGCGATTACAAAAGACATCTCGTTAGAAGATTGTGCTTCATCTCTCCTAAAAGATTGCAGATCCCTGATGGATCACATGGACAACATAGTTTTTCAACACACGCTTCGTGAGGGCAATCGGTGTGCGGATCACCTAGCCAATCTAGGCCAATCCGCGAACTGGGGTACTTCTTGGCTAGATGATCCCCCAACAAGTCTCATCCAGCTCCTCTCGGCTGATGCTTTTGGTGCAAGTGTTGTAAGGGTCTGGTAGTGGAGCTCTTCTCCTCCCGGTTTAACGGGTCTTATTTCACCAAAAAAAAAATAAAAAAAATCATCATTGGAATGCCAATTTTTACATATCTTTATTTTTTATTGTGAACTTTATTTATAAGTTTTTAATACCTCAGTTAATTTGATTTGATATTAATAATCTATTTATTAAAAAAACTTTTCTAGATGTAAAGTAATAATAATAATAATAATAATAATAATAATAATGGATTATCATTAGAGCATATGGGGGAAATTCGTAACTAGTGTACTACACATGAAAGATAAATTGTACTTAAAAATTGAACTTGTCAATTGTGACTTTCTCAACTAACAAAAAATTGTTTTTGCAATTTTTTATACGATAATATGGAATAGTCAAATTGAAAAAGGAAAAATAGATAATTGATAGTTTTGCCTTATTTATTGAGAAATATGGTCAAACTAAAGATATCGGCAACTTATGATTCATTATGAGGTAGTTGAAATTAGTTTATTTTTTAAAACTGAATTTTAATAAATTTAATCTATTTACTTTAAAATTGATAATATAAGGTTCAAATTGGTCACTGAACGTAATTTGAAAATGCAATTAGGCCACTGAACGAAAAAAAAAAGGTGCAATTAGGTCACTGAACACTCTAAAAACGTGCAATTAGGTCACTGAACACTCCAAATGTACGCAATTTCATCGGATAGCAGGTTACCTGCTTATGTGGTAGCTGAGTTGGCATTTTAATAATTTTTAATAAATAAATTTTTAAAAAAATTTTAAAAAATTAAAAAATAAAACGACAGCCACCCCCTTCCCCCTCCCCTCCGCCGGAGACGAAGGAAGAGGGGGTGGCCGGCGGCCACCCCGTCGTTTTTTTTGTCTTTTTTTTTTTTTAAATTATTATTAAAAATTATTTAAAAATGTCAACTCAGCTGCCACGTAAGATGGTAACTTGCTATCAAGTGAAATTACATATATTTGGAGTGTTCAATAACTTAATTGTACTTTTTTTATTTCATTCAATGACCTAATTGTATTTTTAAGTTACATTCAACGGCCAATTTGAACCTTATTCTATAATATAAAATGAAAGATAAAGATTAACATAGTTAATTAAATGGAACTGACACAGCATAACATGCCAAGATTCTTTAATTTAGCAATGTCACCTTAATTTTATATTAATATTTTTTAAAAGAAATATTATTTTCTAATGTTCACATACCATGTTGCAATTTGCAAACCACACAAAATTAATGATATAGTACTCTAGTAGGATTCATATGTTAATTTACATAACATTTCCATTAATGGAAGACCATTAATTGATGATTATGCCAATATTTTTTATTATGTGAACTATCATTGTCATCATACCACAAGATATTTTCATATTTGGCACCACAATATTTAGATACTAATCGGATTGAAATAAAATACAAACAAAAAAATAAAGAATCGTAACAAAAAATTTTGAAATGCAATACATAATACTTATGAATTACGGAATATATTTTGTTGAAAGCTTATTTATGAACAAGATTTGTTTATATTAATATACCTATTGAATATTGAAAATGTACATTCTAATAAATGGAACTTTTTAGAGTTAATTTCATTTTTTATCCTAGATTTATAAGTGACAATCAACTTTTAGTTATTCTTTTTCAAAGTATTTCTCGTTGATTCTAGTATTATTGTGACATGACAATTTTTTGTCATTCGTCAACAAAATTAACTCAACTTTTAATACTAGGATCAAAGGAGAATGATTTTAAAAAATGATTAAAAGTGGACTGTCACATATAAATTTAGGACTAAAAATAAAATTAACTCAACTTTTAATTAGTCAAATAATTATGTGTAATTGTGTAAATGCTACATTAAATGATTTGTAAGAATGGGTATACATTTTGAGACCGTATTCGTGAGAAGGGTCAGGTCAATATAGAAATTGATGTAGTAAATACGGGTGTCTACTACGTAATACGGTGCTAGGGTCAGTTCCGGTTACGGTCCCTCTACCTAGTCTTTGGAAGACTTGACAGTGAGTCAGAGGTTCCCGAGCTAACAGTTAGCGTATGGAAATTGCCAAAAGTCCCTCTTCCCGCATTTAATGTTGTATTTATAGGAGAAAAGAGGAGACAATCACCCGACTTCTCGGCATGCGGGGACACGAGAACGCATGCATTAGGCAAGGCCAGGGCCCAAGCTAACTCGCCCACGCGTCCTAAGATTCCTGACTCTTTTGGGGCGTGCCGCTACCAAGTCCTAGAATTCGTGTGACAGTCTCATACCAATTTTTATTGGGAAAAATATAATACGTACGTGATATAATCACACATCTTTATAAGTTTTGGTAAAGATAATGTTTTAAAAAAACTTGTAACTCAAACTAGCTAACACGTATTTCATGCATACATAATTTTGGAAAATAAAATAGAAAATGACAGCACCCTCAGTTTTGATCACATGTTTTTCTTCATGAGAAATTGGCAATAATGCCAGCGTGGCGACGTGTTTCTTATTACCGGTCATAAATAGACCAAGAAACGCCTAAACTTCATTTTTCCGGTCAATCGGGACCTCATTTCCGGCAAGCCATGGCGGCGAATCTCCTTCGATTTTCACTCTCCCCGAACCAGAAGCTCACCCCGAGCTTCCACTACTCCAATGTCAGGAATTTTCAGCTCAATCCTCTCCTCCGCAGACAACGCCGCACCGATCCCCAATTGCTCCGCAATGGCGTCTTCGCCAAGGCAGTTGAGGTCAAACCCGCGTCTACGGAGCCGGTTCAGAAGCAAGCGAAGCCGGACGACACAACTGTGCTTCTGGATGTGACGGGGATGATGTGCGGCGCGTGCGTCTCACGCGTCAAATCGATCCTTTCCGCCGACGACAGAGTCGAGTCGGCCGTGGTCAACATGTTGACGGAGACGGCCGCGGTGAAGCTGAAGCCGACCGCCGCCGCCGCTGTGGAGGAGGGAAGCGCTGCTGAAGAGCTAGCTAAGAGGCTGACGGATTGTGGTTTTCCGACGAAGCGGAGAGCGTCGGGGCTTGGGATTGAAGATAAGGTGAAGAAATGGAAGGAAATGGTGGCGAAGAAGGAGGGTTTGCTTGTGGAGAGTCGGAACCGGGTGGCGTTTGCTTGGACGCTGGTGGCTCTGTGTTGTGGAGCTCACGGCTCCCATATACTTCACTCTCTCGGCATTCATGTTGGTCATGGTAAAGCAAATTTTTTGTTTTTAAAGAAGGAATATACTTTTTTGCTTTACTTCTGATCTATAATTTTCAATAAGTTCTTTTAATTTTCACCATCAATTTAAGTAAACTATTTTAAAATGTTTGCTTAGGATCCATTATGGAGTTACTGCACAATTCGTATTTGAAAGGTGGATTGGCTTTGGGAGCTTTATTGGGGCCTGGAAGAGGTCAGTAATACCTTCCACAAGTTCAGGTTTACTCTCATATGCGATTGACTTTTGAATTTAGCAGCTGAATCTCCTTTTTATTTTTGGAATCAATGCAGTGTCATAGTCTATAATTTGGGTTCTTAATGCTTTACATCCCACTTTTATTTTTTATTTTTTATCTCAGCAGTAAAACCCCTTGCCATTTGTCTTAACAACTCATGGTTTCTTAACTTTACAAAAACAACTGATGTTCAATTGTTCATCCATTCTTTTAACTTCAGACGGAATATTAATGAAATATATGATATGAATAACACCCCGGACCTGCATGGCTGCTATAAGCCCTTGTCAGTCATGCAGTGTTAATGCCCTCCACTGCAATACGAGCATGTTGAAATGATCATCCAGGAAAAGAAAAACACTGGCATGCTTCTCTTGTTGCCACTATGGATGTATTTTCCATGTGTTATGCAAGTTTCTATAATAGACTAGCTCTAAACTTTATACATATCTATACAAGTTGGTAAATGGACTTTGTAGAGATTGTCAAGTAAACACATGTTTCAGAAAGATATCCTTGCCGTTGAGGACTTGACATATGCTCTGGCATAGGTACTTTAGGTATAATAGAGATGTTGTGTTTTGTTGTAGGCAACTTGATAGTAGGTTTGTGTTTGTGTGTACGTGAGTTCATCTCTATATACTGTATGTGAAAATAGCCATCAAGATTCTTTCCAAGTTTAACATAAGAGACTGTGTGGTTACTTTTGTGAACTTTTGGGGTCGTGAAAGGAGGAGACTCAAAGTGGAATCACCCTTATTATTACATGGAGTACTCAAAAGTCAAAACAGATAAGATAGCGTAATTTGTGATAGGGACTTGGATATCGCAACTGTTTGTGTTTTTTTGTTTTTTGTTTTGGAGTTGTATTTTACGGTAATTCAGCAAAATCCTCTGTTTATATATGATTGGCTATCATTCTATAATTGCTCCTCCTTGAAAATGACTCAAAATAAGTGTTTTTTTTTTTTTTTCCCAGACCTGCTTTTTGATGGTATACAAGCATTCATGAAGAGATCGCCAAATATGAACTCTCTAGTTGGCTTTGGTTCACTTGCTGCATTTGCTATTAGTGCTGTAAGAATTATTTGAAGCTCGGAATCATTTTGTTTGTTGTATTATTTCAAGTTTCTTTTCAGTACTTTAGCTGTTAATATTGTTTTGCTCATTTATCTCTTAGGCCTAAAATGTTGAAACACTCTCCTCTTTCACAGGTGTCACTTCTTAACCCTGAACTTCAATGGGATGCATCATTTTTTGATGAACCGGTTTGTTTCGTTTCTTGTTTATCCCTTTATTTTTCTTCAAGGACTTTTTGCTTTTCCTCCCATTTGCTTAAAGTGATCTTCAAGTTACAACTTATGCATAGGAAAGTACTACATATATTTCCTTTTCAATATTCTGTTCAATCAATTGATTTTAGTTGCTTTTTAGCCATTCACTTAACTTAACTAGTAACACTACTAACAGATGTCATATCTGACCAACAAATGCATATATTTAACTGATTCAAAAGGCTTAATTACTCCACTATCTATATAATATATTTGTAAGAGGTTTGCTCACAGAAAACTGTTGATTTTAGCATGCAGGTCATGCTTCTTGGCTTTGTTCTGTTGGGCCGTTCTCTGGAGGAAAGGGCCAGGCTGAAAGCTTCTAGTGACATGAACGAGCTTCTGGTAAATCCTTCACATAGTACTATTTCAATGTTCCACTTTTTAAATTGGTGGTTGTATGTGTGTGTGTTTTGAGAGAAGGAAGAGGGGTGGGGTTTCAGACAAATGTCAAGAAACATAATTTGAAGGCTAAAGAGCAGAAGTGCAGAATTGCTTCAAACACTTTGCAATTTTGAAAGTGTTCACTGTTCAATCACCTGAGAGAGAGAGAGATGCTAATAAAAAAATTTCTACTTGTCCTCTCAGGAGGGACAAGCAGCACTTCTCTTATTTATAAATCAGTTAGGCATTTCCCTTGTGTGATTTTGATAGAAACCAGAAAGAAGATTGTTGAGAATCCTATGGAATCATTTGAAATGAATTTCTGCAGAGAGCATTGGGAAAGATGGAATAGAAATCAGAATAAATTGTTGATTCCACATTTAGAAACTAAACACAACTTTTTAAAATATTGAGATGAACAAAAGACGTAAGAATCTAAAGGAGAAATACTGCTGATTGAGTATATGCATCAGTGCTGCTTGCTGCAAGCCAAAAATGAGTGTGGGGGTGTTGTGAGAATTGAACTCACGACCTCTTGCACCCAAAGCAAGAATCATACCACTAGACCAAACACCCAGATGACTAATACCATATATATATATATATATATATACGTTTTTTAATTTTGTGAATGGCATGTAAAGGATTGTTATGGATAAACAGAGTGCATTTTTTTTGACATTCTGCTGCCCCTCTCATCTCTTTCTACTCATATATTTTATTTTAATCACCAATGCAAATTGTTGAATTTGGAAGATGGAATGGCCTGGCGGGTAGAGAATAACAACCACCCGCTAGTTAGGCGGAAGTAAAGATAAAGAATAGGAATGGAAAATGTTTATAAAACTGAAAGATATAGAAAATGTAATGAGTCTATATTATCTGTCTGTTTCTAACAAAGAAACATAATACATATATATATATATATATATATATATATATATATATATATATATATATATATATATATATATATATATATATACAAACACATAACTGTAAGTACCTATCCATACTGACACCTATTCACAAACAGACACAACCCTATAGATAAACCTCACTCTTTATTTTTCAACACTCCCCTCAAGCTAGAACATCTGGAAGTTCCAAGCTTGGATTAAAACATACACTCTACCTTACTTTAAATTACAAATGAAGATTAAAAGCAGCTAGAGAATAATAGTGTTGGATGGCTTCAGAGGGACAATGCTATACACAACCCTTGGAATGAAGGCACTAGGGGCAAAACTTGTCACGAACAACCTCAGAGCAACATAAGCACTCTAGGATTTGCCAACAACAATCTTCATCAAGAGAAACAGAGCAAACAAAACATGAGCAGCAAAAGGGATGTAGTAAAGTCCATAGTAATGACAAATACAACCAAAGAATAAAATATGAATACCGAGAACAAGGAAGCAAAGATGAAGAATCAAGGTTTGCCAACAACAATCTTCATCAAGAGAAACAGAGCAAACAAAACATGAGCAGCAAAAGGGATGTAGTAAAGTCCATAGTAATGACAAATACAACCAAAGAATAAAATATGAATACCGAGAACAAGGAAGCAAAGATGAAGAATCAAGGAATGGAAAATGTTTATAAGACTGAAAGATATAAAAAATGTAATGAGTCTATATTATAGAGCATCAATGCTACTTGCATCTGCAAGCCAAAAATGGATGTGGGGGTGTTGTGAGAATCGAACTCACAACCTCTTGCATCCGAAGCAAGAATCATACCACTAGACCAAACACCCAGATGACTTTTAATACCATATACAGAGTATATAATTTTTTAATTTTGTGAATGGCATGTAAAGAATTGGTCAAAGTATCTATGAGGTCCCTGTACTATAATGTTTTGTTCAATTTAGTCCTTCTACCTTAATTTTGTTCAATTTAGTCCCTATACTTTTAAAAGTGAACAATTAAGGACAATAGCTAATGTGGCGCTGACATTATATCTGTCATGTCATCATACTTACATGCCAATTCATATATTATTTTATAAACATTTAAATTAATTATTTTTACCACCAATATATTACATTAATATGTCCAAAATAAATACATAAATATAAGCTATTGTCCTTAATTGTTTCACTTTTAAAAGTACAGGGGCTAAATTAAACAAAATTAAGGTAGAAGGACTAAAATGAACAAAACACTATAGTATAGGGACCTCATAGGTACTTTGACCTAAAGAATTGCTATGGATAAACAGAGTGCATTTTTTTGACATTCTGCCCCACTCTCCTCTCTTTCTACTCATATATTTTATTTTATTTTATTTTAATCACCAATGCAAGTATATTAAGCTGCCCAATATAAATATCAATCAATAACTATCTATAATAATGAGTTTTGAACTATGTGGTCTAATGGTACTCAGGTTGGATTTCCATTTAGAAGATTGTGAGTTCGAGTCTCAGTAGAGGCGTTATTGGTTCAAAAAAATGAGTTTTGAACTCTTCAGACATTTCATGTGATAAATAACACTTTGGGAAAATGGCCTTTTTAGTCTCTCAATTATGCCATAATAGTAAACTCAGTCTCTTAATTATAAAGGATGACCCTATTTAGTGTAGTGGGACTAGTGGCCATTTTTATCCCTCACCTCAAGTATCTGTTAAAACCTAATGTTGATGTAAGAGCAAATCTGAAAATTCATTTACATGAAATTACATAGAACACAAAGAAGAAAAATAATATATATTACATTCATATGCTCGAAATGGTTACAACTTCAACTACGACTTAAATAATATTATTCAAATTGGTGTGGCTGAGGAGCCGGACATTGTGGAGAAAAGGAGCCAACTTCAACCATTTTCACATTTCATCCAAGATTCTTTCGGTGCCATACGTTCAGAGGTTCATCATTGTCTACCATGATCTCGACAATTGGTCTTTCGTTTATTTCAACATTTTCGGCTACTCTCTGATGACTTCAGTCATTAGTTTCATAGCCGCTGATTCTAATTCCACCATCAACAACCTCAAAATACTTGAACTGAACATGACAATGGAGCCAATATGGATCCAATTCAAGAATTTAAAAACGGGATCCACACAAGAACAAAATGAGCAATATTTAATAGTAGATGAGAAGTTTCCCTGAGTGGTACAATCGTACAAACATTCGTAACGTATGCTATGCGAGAGGTCCATGACATTTCTCCATTGTTGTTCCATACAAGAAAAGGAGGAAGATGAAAGAATGGTGTTTTTAGATGCTCGGATTTAGGTTGGGAGTTGTCTGACCATGGCCGGACTGGTTGGAAAATTCGGCGATGAAATTTTTAAAGGGAAGAGAATACGGGAAATGGAGAAAGAGTATAGGAAGGTGAAACCATGGATACCATTTGGATTGATGAGAGTAGAATGCCTTGTGCAATTACTTCCAAAACTTTTCAATAATGGAGAATATAGCTTCCTAGTACTATAATATTTTCCTTTGACATTTTTGTGTAGCGCAAATACTTATAGCATATTTTGTATTCAATTATATACTTATCTGACTTTGTATTTTGGGAGAAGCAAATGAATTTCTAGATTTGCCTTTACATCACCATAGATTAGATTTTAACAGATACCTGAAGTGAAGGATTAAATGGCCACTATGCGAACAATTCAAGGACTAAATGGGGTCACCCTTATAATTAAAGGACTGAGTTTACCCATTATGACACAATTGAGAGATTATAAAGGCCATTTTCCCTAACACTTTTCTCCATATTGTTAAGTCTCAAACTTAACATCTTTGTGTGAATTATAAGTAATGATTGTTGGGAAAATTGTAATTTATGCCCCTCCATAATATGCCAATTATCAATGTCACCCTTGAATTATTAGTGGTGTAAATGTTGCCCCTCAATTTTTAAAACGGTACATATAATGCCCTCCTGTAGTGTAAATGTTGCCCCTCATTTTTCAAAACGGTACATATATTGCCTCTCCCGTACGGTACATATATTAGGTGCTATGGAGACCATTATACTTAATAGGAAAAAAAAAAGGAAGGTTCCAACACCTTAATTACGAATGCAAAATTTTGTTTTAGTGGATATTTTTAATGCTTACTTTTTTTTTTTGAATATACTAAGTGACATGTATTCTAAAACAAATTTTAAAAATGTTAGTTGTTAAAAAATTACAAATCAAAGTAAATTGAAATGTTAAAATTTTACTTGTTATAATTATTACTCCCTCTGTCCCATTTTACCTGTCTTACTTTTCTTTTTAGTTTGTTCCAAAATGTTGTCCTCTTTCCAAAATTGAACATCACCATCATACTACTTTTTTCAAATTACCCTTATGACTTTTGCTTTCTTTATTGCTTTTATTTCCAAAAGTGAAAAAAGTGAGGGCATAATTGGAAAATACATAAGCATTTACTTTAATTCCTTAAAAAGCGTGCAAAAAGTAAATGAGACAACCAATTCGGGACGGAGGGAGTATTATTTTTTATCAGCATAAACTAAAAAACTTTTAAAATTCTAATTTATTTGGATTAATACAAAAATCTCTCTCTTTTTTTTTTTTTTAAACACAAATTCTCTAGAGGTTCTATTCCAAGATGACCTTTAATTAAATTTCACACAATAATACTAAGTTGGGTATTTAGTAATGTGGAGTAGAGTGGCATTATTTCCATAGAGTATAAGGTTAAAAACTCACTGTAGGCAATTGTAATTTATTTTGGATTGCTTAATATTATTATGTTGGTGATTAAATATTAATAAAACCTATATAATACAGGGACCTTTGGCTGAACCTAAATGGCTGCATGCCTCCACTGTCCTCAATCTTCTTAGATTAAACATAGTATCACTTAAGAGGACCTCATGGCCTAAGTTCCTTTTATTGGGTAAAAGCTCAAATTTGTAGGCATATAACAGAAATTTCAATGTGAAAATTAGAATAAGCTGAAGTTTCAATTAACACCACAGTCTACTAATATATTAGTTTATTAAAGGAAGCATTTATTTTTATTAATGTCTATATTTAAAATTTCTTTCTCTGATAAACTGTTGCGGGGATCTCTTTGCAGTCGCTCATATCCACTCAATCTAGACTTGTGATTGCTCCCTCTGGAAGTGATTCCTCAAGTGATGTTGTCAGCTCTGATGCAATGTGTATTGAAGTTCCAACTGATGATATTCGTGTTGGAGACTCACTGTTAGTTTTGCCTGGAGAAACAATACCTGTAGATGTAAGTCATTATTTCCCACTGAAGTTGTACTTCTGAAGTTATGGATAACCAATTATATCTCAAAAATCCTTATAAGAGCATGGGATGTTCTAAAATCTAAAGTCATCTCTTCATAATTGTCAGTCAGTTCTACATATCATCGAACTGTGGGGATAACTTTCATATAACAGTAAAGAGCAGTTGCATCATTACATATTTTAAATCTTTTCGAATTCTCTTTTAGATATTTTTTTCTGTTTATATGAATTGAACATTAGAACTTTGATGCTTTGAAATGTCTATGGTTTTAAAATCATTCTCAAGCCAAAAAAAGGAGTTTTTCTTCAACAAGAAAAGATGGAAATGAGAAAATCTGCTATTCTACTAGTGATCTGTTTTCTCTATGAATTCATTTTTCTATTTTATACTTTACTGTTTCTTTTAAGTGGACGTACTGCTGGTTGCATTCTCAACAGCTAGGTCATATTATGCAGGGAAAGGTTGTTGCAGGTAGGAGTGTAGTGGATGAATCTATGCTTACTGGGGAATCCCTTCCTGTGTTTAAAGAGAGAGGCTTATCGGTATCAGCTGGAACAATAAATTGGGTATGATATTCAAACAACTTTCAACTTGGTTTCTGGAATATTTGAAATTATTGGGGAGTAGCTTTTATCACTACCCCTCATATTATTTACAAAAAAGATAAATCCTTACAGTTTACAGGGTACAGTGTGAAGTGACAATTGATTACTCCTCAGAGGCTCAGAGTTGATAAATCCCTCATATAAGTCTCAAATTTCAGCTTATGTGTTTTTGAGTCAAGTGCATAAGTTACCTATATTTACAGTGGGCACAACTAGAATGACAAATTTTTGGTCATTAGCATGGGATGTGTAGAGGGGGATAGAGTGAGAAGTGAAATTCATTCAGGATGCAAAACCATGCACATAGATTGTTCACTGACCCACCCCACCTCAAACACACATACACAGAAAAATAAAGCTCAATAAAAGAAAAAGAAAAACCAACCCTAGCTTTGGGTGGTAGAGACGACTGTGAGTTGAGGTTACTAGGTCCATGGTATTTGATCAACTTATGGATAGACTTTAAGAAGCAGTAAATGGAAAGTTATTGAAAAGAAAAAGTAGGTATTTATGATGAAATGTTGATGCAAGTTTGACTGCTTAATTCTGTTGTAGATGGACAGATATACATTAGTGAAAAATGCTAGTTAATTTTTGAAGAAAAAGAATGGAAGATATTTAAGTAGGGTTAATAAAAGGAAGCATTGGAAAATTTTGGGGGATGGGAGAGTGGGGATGTTGCAGGATGTAGGGAGGAAAGAAGCCAAATATTTGGGACAGCATGATGTGGGATGCACAGCACAGTTCTGGCCTGTCCTATTGCCATCCCTAGTTCCCTAACCCAACTAGCACCTGGATTGAGATTGACTGCACTGAAATGTGATATTCACAAGTTTCTTGCTAGTGAAACTTTGAATGATTCGTTTTCATTTTCCTTTGTCAGCTGTTTGATTCAAATGCTTTTTGTACTTTGTTTCAG